GGAGTCTTTATTAGCCGGCCGGTGGCTACAGCCTGAGGCTCGGAGGCCGAGAGTCAGAACTGTAGCACCAGCCAGCGTTTGGGGTAGCCTCTTGTAGGGTTGGTTGCCAGGTGTGCAGGATTCCCATGCGAAAGCAGTTACAGAAGCTGAGTCAAGCTGGTTAATGATTTCTGAGGGCAGTGGGGTTTCCATGCAACCCGTTCCATTGCTAAACAAAAGGGTTTCGGGCTAGTTAGCAAAGACAGTAAAGGTACAGGATGTCGACCCGGATGTGGTTTTAGCATTAGCTGTTTTCTCATAGGAAGAGCAAACAGGAATACAGAAGCAGACAGCCATGTTAGGGGAAGGGTACAAAATGGACAAACATTTGCTCATGTGCAAAATCTAATATGCGGCCTTCCACGCTTCATTTTTTTTTTCTTTTGATCTGTACACTCACCGGAGAGAGACAAACAGTGAGAGGGAAAGTGAGAAATCACCTCCTCCCTGGAGGAGATGTTCACGCCACAATCCCTTCTCCATTCTGCTCCTGGGATCTTGGGTAGGCAAGCACACACACCTGTTGTGATTTTCAAGCCCCCAAGTCTGGGACTTGAACCACGGTCCGCTATATGGGAGTCCAGCAATGAAACCATCATGCCATCCACTGGCCCCTCTATACAGCTTCTTAAAGTCTTCCTGAGGGTTGATTTAACCCTAACCCTAACCCTAACCATTTATCCACTTTATAGATTTGAAAATGGAAAGATCTCTTCTTTTAGTGGCCAGAGGGCATGTGTGCTCACTAGAGAGAGAAAGAGAGGGGAGAGGGAGTGGGAGAAAGCCCCTCGCAATGGGTCACGATCACACCACAACCCCTTCTCCTCCTCTTCTTCGTTCCATTAGGATTTGGGGCATGCATGTGCACACACCTGGTGTGTTTCTTAAGCTGCCAGGGCCAGGATTCAAACCACAGTTGGCCATGTGGGATCCTGCTCCCTTAACCACTAGGCTATGGGGCCAGCCCAGGAAGAGTATCTTTTAATTACCTTTATTACTATACTTTTACTGTTTCTGGAGCCTTTCATTTCTTTGTGTGACTCGAAAATTCTTTCTGGTATATTGTTTGGATTAAGTAACTTTTAAACATCCCTCACGGCACAGGCCTGTTGGCAGTGATGTCTCTTGGCTTCCATCTTTCTGAAAATGCTCTTACCAACCTCATGTTTGAAAAGTATTTTTGCTGGGTATAGAATTCTATGCTGACAAGGGCATGTTTCCCTGCATCTCAGTACTTGAGAGATTTCTCTGGCTTGCTTAGACTTTGATAAAAAGTCTAATACATTTTTAATTACCAGAGGGCATAATCATTCTCAGAGAGAGACAGAGGGAGAGGAGAAAGCACCACCCGGTGCTGTGTGGTTCTGCTGTATTCCCTTCTTCCTTTCCTCCATCCCTCCATCCTGTCAGGATTTGGGGCACATGCGTGCATGTGTGCACACACATGGCATGGTTTTCAAGTCACTAGGGACAGGATCCAACCCAACCACCCTGACGGATCCAGCTCCCTTAGTCAGCCGGCTCTGAGACCGAGCCAAGACGCCTGACAGAACTCGGGTCATCATTGTTTTTGTCTGTGTCTTTTTCCACTAGATGATAAGTGTTTTTTCCCTTTATTTTGCTTTTTCCTCAGTTTGACTTTGATGTGTCCCTGTGGTTGGTTATTGATTTTTCATTGGTTTCTGTCTTGTGTGGGGTTCTCAGAACTTCTTAGATTCATGATTTGATGTTTTTTATTTTATTTTTCTTTTGTTTCATTTTATTTTATGAAAATAGGAGGGAGACAGAGAAAGACAAGCACCACAGTTCCCCACAGCCTTCCCAGCCAGCCAGCATGGACAGACTGACTGGGGAACCGAACCCATGGGCTTCCACATGGGTTCAGCATCACTCGAATGGCAAGTTGTTGCTGTGCCAGGGAGCTGGCCATTTCACTAATTCTGAAAACGTCTCAGCTGTTATCTCCTCTGCTCCATGCCTCTCCTCTCATGTTACAATTGGACTCCGGGGAACCAGCAGTTAGCGTAATGGCTATGTCGCTGGACTCCCACGTAGTCGACCGCGGTTCGTGTCCCGGACCCGGTGGCTTAAAACTCACGCCGGGCACGTGTGCGTGCATGCCCAAGATCCCGAGAGGAGAATGGAGGAGAAGGGATTGCGGCGTGACCATCCCCCCTGGGGGGTGATTTCTCGCTTTCTGTCTCTATGTCTCTCTCTGTCTGTCTGGTGAGCGCACGCGCCCTACAGTGAAAATCTCTTAAAAAAAAAAAAAAAAAAACAATTGGACTCCGATGTCGGAGACAGGGCTGCTGTTTCACCTCAGCGCTGTGTGTTCTGGTACACCCTTCCTCCTCTTTTCCCCTCTGTTTGGACTGCGGTAATTTCAACTAAACTAATTTCAACTTCGACTCCACTGACTCCTCCCTCGTCTGTGGAGTGTGCTGAGGAGCCCACCGAAGGAATTATCTCTAACATCGCCTTTTAAAAAACATGTTTAGCAACCTCCTTTTGACTTAGGATTTCCATCTCCCTGGAGAAGTTTTCCATCTACTGTGTATTGTCAGCCTTTTCTGCCAGACCATTCATTGTCCTAACTCTGATCACACGGCGTCTGGCTCATGAGTCTGATTCTGTGGATTGCCCTGTCTCTTGACAGTGGGCTGGTCGTGTTCTGTTATTTCCAAACAAGAAACGTATGTGTTTTTTAATTGGGTGCTGAGCACTCCCATGTAGAACAGACTAAGGTAAATAGTCTCTATGTCTGAAAATGGGTAAGCCTCTTCTATCGGAGTCCTAGGGTGGGACTGTCACATTCTTGTCGGGAATTGCACTGTTTTGGGGACTGTTGTTGCCATGGGTACCCTTGGTGCACCACAGGCATTATATACCTCTAGTAAAGGACCCCGTGTCAGGATGGGGACCAGAGGCTGCTCCTCAGGGTAGTGCCCACCCTCAGCTTGCAGGAGACTACTGCCAGGGGCAACTGCAAGCTGAGGGTGGGCACATACACACAGTCACACATGCACACACGCACACAGTCACACAGGCACACAGTCACACAGTCTCACATAGACACAGTCACATAGGCACACAGTCACACAGGTACACAGTCACACAGGCACACAGTTACACAGGCACACAGTCACACAGTCACACAGTCACACAGGCACACAGGCACACAGTCACACATAGACACAGTCACACAGGCACACAGTCACACAGGCACACAGTCACACAGGCACAGTCTCACATAGACACAGTCACACAGGCACACGGTCTCATATAGACACAGGCACACAGGCACACATAGACACAGTCACACAGGCACACGGTCTCATATAGACACAGTCACACAGTCTCTCATAGACACAGTCACACAGTCTCACATAGACACAGTCACACAGGCGCACAGTCTCACATAGACACAGTCACACAGGCACACAGTCTCACATAGACACAGTCACATAGGCAAACAGACACACAGTCACACAAGCACACAGTCACACAGTCACACAGTCTTACATAGACACAGTCACATAGGCACACAGGCACAAAGTCTCACATAGACAGTCACACGGGCACACAGTCACACATACACACAGGCACACAGGCATACAGTTACACAGGCACACATTAACATAGTCACACAGGCACACAGTCAAACAGGCACACAGTCTCACAGTCTCACATAGACACAGTCACACAGGCACAGAGTCTCATACAGACACAGTCACACAGTCTCACATAGACACATGCACACAGTCACACATAGACATAGTCACACAGCCACACAGTCTCACATAGACACAGTCACACAGTCTCACATAGACACAGTCACACAGGCGCACAGTCTCACATAGACACAGTCACACAGTCTCACATAGACACAGTCACACAGGCACACAGTCTCATACAGACACAGTCACACAGTCTCACATAGACACATGCACACAGGCACACATAGACATAGTCACACAGCCACACAGTCTCACATAGACACAGTCGCACAGGCACACAATCTCACATAGACACAAGCACACAGGCACACAGTCTCACATAGACACAGTCGCACAGGCGCACAATCTCACATAGACACAGTCACACTGGCACACAGTCACACATAGACACAGTCACACAGGCACACAGTCACACAGGCACACAGTCTGACGTAGACACAGTCACACAGTCACCCAATCTCACATAGACACAGGCACACAGGCACACCGACACACAGAGCCCCATACTGCCTCCCTCTCTCTCATGCACACAAACATGCAGTTTCTGTCCCCCGCCCTGGCTGTCACCACCAGCTCCCCTTAGGACTAAATGGGTCAGAGACTCTGTGACCTCGGGAACATCTCCCTCAGGAGGTGGGGGGCTTTCCTGGATTGCCTGGTCCCATCTCCCTGCCAGACTGTACTCAGGCCCCGGTCCAGTATCAGGTTCCCCAGCAGCCCAGCCAGGATCAGTGGGCAGGACGGCAGTAGGCCACATGCGTGTCGTGGCAGAGTACCGCAAGAGCTCGGCAGAGACCTCGGGGCCGATGACATCAGAGATGTGAGCGGGTCCCAGGCCCACAGACAGAACCTGCTCAGCTCCATGTCCAGGTGTGGGACTCACGGGTATGACAGCAGCGGGACCCTGGGTGGGGGTCCTACTAGCTGGCTGGTGGCCTGTCACCGGCAGCAAGACCGAGACACCCCCCCAGCCTGGGGTCTCGGCCGTGTGGGCCCAGCCTGGCGTTCTCCTCATGGTGCAGGCAGACCCCGAGCAGCCCTGCTCCTCACTGGCTCAGGCCATCTCAGGACCTCCACCAGAGCCGCCCAGGACCCTTACCTCCCAGAGGCAGCTGCTGCCTCAGGTCCTGGGCTTCTATGGGGCTTTGCTGCATGAGAGGAGTCTGCAGAGAGCCCCCCGGGGTCTGCCTTGCTTCCCCCTGACAGCCTGCTTTTCCACTGCAGGAGCTACAAAGAGCTCACGGACTGCACCCGGCAGGTGGCGGAGAGGCTGCAGTGCTTCTGGCCCAACGCGGCGGTGGACAGGTTATTCCTGGCTGTCCACCGGCACTACTTCCGGAAGTGCCCCGTCTCCGGCAGGGCCGTGCGAGACCCGCCCAGCACTGTCCTCTGCCCCTTCATCGTGGTGCCCATCACGGTGACCCTGATGGTGACGGCGCTGGTGGTCTGGAGGAGCAAGCACACGGAAGGCATCGTGTAGGCACGGCCGGGGCTGTGGGTGGCCAGGCCAGGGAGGTGGGCCTGGTCTGGCAGCAGCTCCCCAGGGCTCCAGGCCAGGCAGACCCCAATGCCCCCTTCTCCAGCCAAGAATTGCTGGCAGGGCTACAGAGTGTTTGGGCTCAGGCATGGGCCCTGGAGTCTCCTGACCAGAGGGGAGCCACCCACTAAGGGCACGGCCCTCACTTCACTCCGGAGCCTGCAGCTCTGCCCGGCGCCCCCACCCGGACTGCTGACCCAATGCGTGCGTTTGCCATTGAGCACTTTGTGATTAAAGGGTGTTCTTGAATGTGGGCTGCGTCCTATTTCTGGGCATCTGTCCTTGGAGCAGATGGGGGGAGAACACCAACCCTGCAGATTCCTCTTCGTCTGACCGCAGGGTCTGTCCAGGGGTCTTCAAAGGGACAGTGGAGGCCGCCTTGTGGAAGATTACAAGTAACGGCATCGGCAGAGAGCCCGACCATCTTGCAGAGGCCGAGCAGCCACCTTGTCGAACGATCTGGGCACTGCCAGGGCACACAGAACGAGACCCGATGCCCCAGGCACCTCAGGGCTCAGGGGGCCCAGGGTCCACCGTGGAGTTAGGAGCACAGGACAAGATGGGAGCTTCAGGTTCTCCTCACCCAGGGGCACCGCAAGGCCATGTGAGCAGGAGAGGCAGGGCGAGGCCCTCACGCAGCTGCAGCAGGCCAGCTACCACATCGCTCTGCCCACCTGGGTTCTATTCTCCGCTGAGGAGCCTCCCCCCGGGGCCACCTGGGATGGAAGAGAGGGGAACAGTAACGTGCAGGCTCGCCTCACGAGATCACCATGTACAGAACTGCACAGGTGGCTTTGCGGCCTCACACAGCCTCACACGGCCTCACACAGCCTCCTGGGCCCAAGCAGGCCACCAACCCTGTGGGCTACATGGAAGCGCTGTCCTTCTTTGGCCTTCCTGACAGGCTAGGGAAAGGAGGCTGTCAGGGTGAGCCTGAGGTCTTTGTTGAGCTGACTAGGGGCACAATGGCAGTTTTAATTAAATCAGACTAACCAGCTTTACTTGTGTCCTGAGCTGGAGAAAAGGCCCCCTCCGCAGAGCTTTGTCATGGAAATCTGGAGAAAAAACTCCACTGGGAGTCCGGAAACCCAAAAAGAGCAAGGGAAGCAGGGAGGTGGAACTGGAACCGGTTAGGTGCCTTATGTTCCCAGAGTCGCTCTGTGAATGCCCCAAACCGGCAGCTCAGGGGACAGCATCTCCGGTAAGCCAGGATAGGCTCGGGATGGATCCCCCAAGGCCGGCCCTATGCACACGCGGCTAGGCAGGGAGCAGGCAGCCTGGGAACCACGGCCAGAGGGAGGAGCTCCGGAACCCGCAGGGCGAGCCCCGAGACCTGGAACACGCCATTCCTTCTGCAGAAACAGCCCCGGGTGCCCTGGAGGCGAAGTCCCCTCTTCAGAAATGAAAATTGGTGCCGTCTTCCTGGAAGACAAGTTGGAAATATGTACCCAAAGCTTAAAATGTTTACTCTAGTGATTTCCCTTCTAGAACTTGATCCCAAGGACATAATCAGGATGAGCAAAGGGCTCGTGGGGAATGATCTCCACCCAGAGTTATGTACAAGGGCACCAGTGGGAAGGCCTCAGTGCCAGCATGGGAGGATCGCGCTATTAGATTAAATCCAGATGAAGGGAAAATGCTCCCTAAAATTCAGTGCATGGGAAACTGCCTCATAGCGTACAGTTAGTCAGAAAAGGCAGATGACGAAATAGGAAACAGAGAGAGAGGTGTGTGTGTGTGCGTGTGAACACGCGTGCACGTGTGTGCACATTCCCAGGCCACACCATGCTTGGAGGCGCCCACACACGACAGCTGGAGAGCTGCTCATCCCCGCGCTGAGCTGCTCGTCCCCGCGCTGAGCTGCTCGCCTGCGCTGAGCGGCTCCTCCCGCACTGAGCTGCACGTCCCCGCGCTGAGCTGCACGTCCCCACGCTGAGCTGCATGTCTCTGCGCTGAGCTGCTCATCCCCAGCACAAGCTGGCTTGGGGGCGCAGGTCAAGTACCAGGGCTGGCTCTGATCTGCCAGCTTCTGGGTCCTAATGGCCTTTTCCTGTTCTGTGACTTGGAGCACCTTCACCTCGTACCCTCCCGTGTGCATGGACAGGACACCACATCAAGGGTTGCCAGGACAGTGTGGGCCCCGCAGAGCAGGTGCCTGGCAGTCCTGTGTGGGCCGGATGGTGAGGCGTGTGGCAGGTGCCCACAGGCTGGGAGCTGAGGGGGGCTGGAGCGAGGTTAGCGTTAGGCACACAATTGCCCTCGGGGGCCTCTCAGAACAAGTTTAAGAAAGACGGACGCTGCGCTTCCAGGCTGTGTCCAGAGAACTTGGACGTGGCTGGGTTTTCCACGGACAGTGAGGGTGCCCACCCTCACCAGGGCTCCGTAAACACGCAGGCAGAAAGCACACCCAGAGAGGGCGGCTTGAGGAAGTCTGCTGTAGAGGCCCTGGATCATCCTCCTGGGAGTTCCCGCCCCGCCGCAAGCCTGGGCCTAGGACGCCCACCCAGGAGCTCCTCCCCTTCCCACAGACACGCTAGCAGGAGGCTGGGGATGTTTGCTGTCTTCAGAGGAGACGTTGGGGGGCCTGGAGGTCACTGTCAATGGCAGGTGGCACCTACTTGTCATCCTCAGTGCAGCCCCCTAAGTCACACAAAGATGCCATGTGGTCTCTCTCCCCTTGGCACCTCTTCTCACAGGACAAGTAATTCCATGTATTTGGGGTTTTTTTTGGAGAGGTTTTTGCTATAGGGCTCATGTGCTCACCAGAAAGAGACAGAGATGGAAAGCAAGAAATCACCCCCCAGGAGGGATGGCCACGCCACAGTCCCTTCTCTTCCATTCTCCTCTCGGGATCTTGGGCACGCACGCACATGTGCCCAGCATGAGTTTAAGCCACAGGGTCCAGGACTCGAACCGCAGTCGACTACGTGGGAGTCCAGTGACATAGCCATTACACCAACTGCTGGTTCTGCAGTTCCATAGCCATTACACTAACTGCTGGTCCCGCAGTTCTCTGTTTAACAACAACAAAGAAGTTGGCCCAGCGAGTGCTGGTGGACACTGTTACTCAGCAGGCCGAGACTACATGGAGGCCCAAGTTCTAGTCCTGGCCCACCCTAAAAGCCACACACAGGTGGCGTATGCCTGTCGGTGCAGCTCCTGGGGAGGCTGCAGCAGGGGATCAGAGGTTGTAGCACACAGGCTGTGGTGCCAGCTCTACCAACCCCTCCGGGCCTCAGTTTCTCCAGCTACAGAGGGATGACCTTAGATAATGCAAGGAGTCGTTGAGGAGAGTCCTCGGCACTGTGCTGGTCACGGCTCACGCTCCGTTAACATCAGCCACGTGGCTCATCTTCCCAGGTGTGGCAGGAACCGTGCAGACCCGGGTGCACTGTCCTGTCTCGTGTTCTCCAGGGCCACTGTGGCAGGGTGGCAGATAATCACCGATGAGAGCAATGACAGGGAATATTCCAGTGGTGACATTTGGGGGTTCTTCTACTCCTGGCCAGCCTGTTCAGCATAGAACAGGGCCAGAGGGGCAGTGAGGGCCACCTGACAGCACCCAGGCTGGGCGGCTGGACAGGCTAGAAGCTGACACCTGGAAGCCTGGCATTGCAGTGTGGCAGGGTAGCCCTCCAGAGGCCTCTCGCCCTGGCTTATCACTGGCACCTTCTCTGCATCCTCGTGAGGCCCTCCCTCATCCATGCCCCAATCGTCTCTTCTGGAAAGGTCCGGACCCAACCGAAAGCCTCCTTTAACCTTCGTTACCCTCTAGAGGCCTGTTCCAGGTGGTTCCCAGGTGCCAAGTCAGGACTTCAACATGTGGATTTGGTGACACAACCCAGCCACAGCAAAGCCCACTTCCCCAACTGCAGCTCTGCTCAGGTGGCAGTCGGCTCTCTCGCTGGCCTGCTGCAGCTGGCTGAAGCCAAATGAACACAAACGCAGTAATTTACCATGAAAACCAGTGAACAGCCTCTCAGCAAGGAGATTGCTACAGACTCAGCGAGCGGAGATAAAACCCGCCCCAGGCCTGGGGGTGAGAAGGTGGGAGCCACCCCAGGGGACATTCCTGAGAGGACCCCCCCAGCTGGTGTACCCCGGGCCTTGGCGGGTGGTTTGTTTCTGGTTTGTTTCTGACGAATGTTCCAGCCTTCCTCTCCTGATGCCCGTGTTCCCCGCAGGGTGGCTTAGCTTTTTTTGTTTTTCCCCCTTTTTGTTCCAAAAACAGAACAAAGAACTGAGCTGAGGAAAGAGGAAGAGAGTATTTTTCTTGAGTTAACCAGGTCAGCTGTCAGGACAGAGAGACTGAACGGACGTCAGAGGTTGCTGCAGAGTTGGGCTGCAGCGGGTGAGGAGGGTGGGGCTGCAGCTTCCCCCCGGGCCAGAGGTGTCCACACCAGCCCCTCACAGGGGCCGGGAACAGAGGGCAGTGGTCCAGCTGTGAGGACGGATCTGGCCACACTGGTGTCTGCTGCTGGTGGTTTCCATTTTGCAGCTAAAGAGACTGAGGCACAGTGACCTCCCTTAACCTTACTGACCCCTTGGAAGGCCACAGTGCTGAGCCAGGATTTGAAGCCAGCCTCTTCTGAAGCCCACTGCCGTCAGCGGTCCAGGGCAGCGATGAGCAGTCAGGAAGAGGGGCGGGGGGCGAGGCTGGCCCCCTCTGGCTGAGTACACATTCGGCTGGTTCATACCTAGGCCTGTCCAGCTCTGGGCACCAGAAGTCCGAGTAGGCTGCCCTCTGCAGGACACCGCCCCTTCCCGCGCAAGCCCTCCTGGGACCACCTCTGCCCTGGGAGGTGCCCAGCACAGCGACTCTCACCACTGACTCCCTGGGAAAGCCCGCCAGAGCCTGCGCAGGGCCATGCTGTGGTGTTCTTCAGTACAGGCTCTCCCGCCTGCCAGGTTCCGGGTGGCTCCAGGCCTCGCCTGGGAGAAGGCACGGGCAGTGTCCCGTTACTCCGCATCATGACAGATGCACGTTTTTGTGAGTGAGCGAGAGCGAGAGCGAGAGCGAGCGAGGAGCACCAGGACTCCACGTGCCAGACCCAAGCTGCGTTCACACATGCCCAGAGTGGTCCAGGCTGACCACCACTGGGGTCACATCACTACTGCAGCCACGCAGCCCGTCTTCCTCCACCTCTCCGCCAAGCTCCCTGATGGGACAGCAGCTTGCAAGGCTGGTGCCCCCAAGCCTCCCCTGTGCCTCTGGGGATCCATTCCTGCCGGCCTGTGCCCAGGAAGGCTGAGT